GAAGAAAAACAAACCAAGCCAAAAGTGATTCCCATTACCAAAAGAACGAAGATTTGTTCCATCTGATCCTAAGGAGCTCATCATAGATGATCCATCGAAATGTATCACTACTAGAACCTCTTATAAAAATCATCTCAGTAGTTGTGCATTCATTTCTCAAATCTAACCTAAAAATTTCAAAGAAGTTGAGTTTGATGAATTTTGAATTCTAGCTAGAACAAACAATCAAACCGTTATTGGTACTAAATGGGTTTTTAGAAACAAAAGTGATGAAAATGGAATAATTGTGTGTAATAAGGCTAGATTATTGGCCTAAGGTTACAATTAAGAAGAATGTTTTAATTTTGAAGAAACATTTGCACTCGCAGCTAGACTAGAATCCATTCACATGCTTCTTGCATTCGCATGTTATAAATGTTTTACATTTTATCAAATGGATGTTAAAAGTGCATTTCTAAATGGATTTATTCAAGAAGAAGTCTTTATTGAGCAACCTCTTGGTTGTAAAGTTCATAAGTATTCGGATAATATATTTAGACTTAGAAAAGCTATTTACGACTTAAAACAAGCTCCAAGAGCATGGTACAAACATTTGAGCAAATTTCTTCTTTCAAATAATTTTTCAAATGGAAAGCGGATACTACACTTTTTGTAAAAACTTATAAGAAGGATACGCTTATTGTTCAAATTTATATTGATTATATTATTTTTGGTGCCACAAACATCAGTCCTTATGAAGATTTTTCAAATTGTACTAGTAAAGAATTTGAAATGAGCATGATGGGAGAACTAAAATTCTTCATTAGTCTTCAAATTAAACAAACAAAAGACTGTATTTTCATAAATCAACGTAAGTACATGTTAGACATGCTTAAAAGATTTGACATGTATGACCTTAAGCCTAAGAATACACCCCATGAGCACGTCTCTAAAACTTGACAAAGATGAGCATGACGCTTCGGTTGACATCACAAATTACAGAGGTATGATTGAATCCCTTTTTATTTGATTGCTAGTAGGCCCAATATTCTGTTTAGTGTATGTTTATGTGCTAGATTTCAATCTAATCCCAAGGAACGTGCTGTAAAAAGAATTTTTCGATATCTTAGTGGAACTAGAACTTTAGAACTTTGGTATCCTAAAGGCACTCACATTGATCTAATTAGTTATTCGGATGTTGATTGGGCCGGATGTAATGTAGATCATAAAAGCACTAGCTGAAATTGTCACTTTTTAGGCTTTACACTCATGTCTTGGTCTAGCAAGAAATAAAATTTCGTTGTATTATCCACCGTCGAGGCGGATTACATTTTGGCCGCAAGTTGCTGTGCACAAACACTTCGGATGAAACAAACTTTTGTGATTATTACTTATCCTATAATCATGTGCCTATTGTGTGTACACTAATGCCATCGACTTGTCTAAAAATCCTGTATTGCCTTCACGTACTAAGCATATTGAAATTCTACACTACTTTCTTCATGACCATGCACAAAAGGTAGATATAATGTTAGAATTTATAAAAATCAATGACCAATTAGCTGATGTCTTCACCAAACTTCTAGCACCCGATTGTTTCTCACATATTCAAAGTGGTTTATGAATTATTGATGAATATACAGTGGAATAAATTTAATTCTTTTTCAATCACGTAAACCTTGCTTATATGATCTTTTATATATTTTTTAAAATAAATTCTTTTTAAATAACCTTATCCTTTAAAAAAGGGATCCAAACGAGTCTCTGACGGTTCAAACACATACACTGTCAATCTAAACGTTTGGATCTGTGTTGTTTCAAATTTAAATCACGACCAGACCACTTCTTCCTTCTATTTCTCTCAATTTTGTTGCCTTCTTCTCTCACATTTCGCTCGAAATCACCTCCCTCGTCTCTACGAACACAAAAAACAACCTTCTAATCTAAGAACTCATAAGTTTACACCTCACAAAATCCTAATTTTCTCTCAAAACCATTCAATTTGGTGTGAATAGCCCAACTTTCCTCTCTTCATCAATCTTGGAGATTTTTCCCAAAAATTCTTCAATTTGTTCAATATTAAAACGCCACTCATCCGGATTTTTGAAACTCTTCTAAAAAATTCAAGTTTTAACGGGGAAGATTAAACCCTAGAACTCAAAATTTGGGGCTTTTTGCATTACTTCTCAATTCTTCACAATGTCGAGATCTCAAAGGGGCAAATAGATGAAACGAACCGCAAGGTGACCTGCTCTTCCATCATCAAATGAAGAAATTGACTTGGAACTGGAGGTGTCATTGAATCCTTTCGAAAAATCGTCTATTTAAATCGGTAAGAATGTTTTTTTTTTGCGAATTTTACGATAGAAGCACTCGCTTTTCACATTGAGGAATGTTTTGAAAATATGGGATGAGTATCCGTGGCTACTATAGAAGAGCACACATACCCATGCCTTATGAAGGAATTTTATCAAAAAATACATGTTGCACCTCGTTTCGATGAGATTACATGTTTAGTTTAAAATGTGCACATCATAATTTCAAAAGCACTAATTCGTGAAATTCTCGAACTCGAGCCTCGTGACTTGGAAGTATTTTACCTAAATCTATACCTACCGTGAAAGGTTACGATCTTTCCAAGGCTTGTCGTCGAGTCATCGGGAAAGACTTCTAGAATATCATCAAATTAAGTGCACATCAATTGACTCTTCAATGTAAAATTTTGGAAAATATAATCGCCCATGTCATTTTTCCCTGTAAAGGACACTGAGACACAGTTAATCACTTCGATCTCTTTAGTTTTGATTCACTTTTAGTTGGGCATCAAATTGGTTTTCCTACAATTGCCATGAGACTTATGAAACTTGTGCATGCATTATGGCACACTAAAGCTTTACCTTATTGGATGCTTCTTACGAAAAATTTTAAGCATTTTAACGTTTCATTTGAGGAAGAAGATTTTGTTAAATTATGCCCTATTAATACTATCAACATCCAAACATTAAAATAGATGAAGATAGTAAAAGAACACTGGCAATTGGTGGCTCACACGAAAGGATTCGACCCTACCTCTAGTCCATCCACTTTACCTTTTGAAGAAGAAGTTGGAGATGAGCCCAAAGACAAGCCTGAAGCTCCTATGTTCGCTTCTGACATTCCCGACTCTAGTGCACCCCGTCCATCTGAAGGTTGTTTCATTGTCACGGAAGAGCAGTATAATCTTCTTTATAGGAGCATCGGTTCGTTCACTTCGTCTATTGAAAGCCTAGGTAGTCTACTTCTTCAAATTTTTAAGCATGGAAACATTTTATCGACTCACAACTACTTGCATAAAAATTATTTTCAAAAGATAAGTATTTCGCTTTGAATCTTAAATATTCAGAAAAAATATTTATCTATACAAAATAAATGAGAAAATCCTTCAAGTACGCATGGACAAAATTCATTATGAAGGAAAATGTTCGGATGGTTGCCCATCCGGACCCTAATTGGACGTCCGGATCCTGTATCTAGGTTGGTAGATTTCTGAACGTTTGAAAGTTGTAAATTACCCCTCTTTCTACCTAATTTACAACAACAATTTTTGAGTATTTAAGATAGGCATTTGTTGATCTTTTCTAGCTACCTTAGTTTTCAATATTTAAAAGATCAAAACATTAAGGGGATGTTCTCTTCGTGTTTCAATTTTTTTGTCTTGAGTTTTGAATTCATTTTGGATATTGTGCTTTGAGTGTTTGTTTTGAAATTGCTAAAAATAAGTTCTTTTTATCATTCTGGAAAACTGTTTCTCAAAACATAAAAATGGAAAATGTATTTAATTTGAAATTTTGATTATATATTTTTAGAATATTTTATTCAAGAAATCTGATTATTCAATAAATTTTAATACTTTAATGTTAATATAGTATTAAGTCCCCGTTTGGCCCCCTTTAAATCTCTTCAATTTAATTTAATTTTTTCTTTCTTCTATTTTCAACCACACTATCTTCAATAAAATAATGTTACGCTCAAATCGAAAATTTTTCAACCACACAATTTTCAAAAAAATTACTATCCCTCCATTATAAATTCAAATAATGGGGGCCAAACAAGCTTTAAATAACATATGAATTTTGAAGTTGGTAAATCTTGAAATATATATTTTTCAGATATAAAAAACAATCTAAATTAAATTTGGTAAAATAGTTCAATAGATACGATTAAAAGTTTACGTGTTATGGCAAAACAAGCAGATACTAAACATAATATAAAATACATTGCATTGAAAAGTTGTTCGAACTTGTGATTGCATCAACGAATACTCGTGAATTATTTATAAATAACAAAGCCTCTTGATAACAATGCAGCTTAAAACTAAATAACAGACATTCAAGTACCAATGAAAGTTCCGACAAAAGAAAATGAAATAATAATTTAATGTCACAAGACAACGATATTGGTCACCTTGCCAAATCCACATTCAAATTGTACCAGTCTGGAAATTTCATATCGCTATACGTGGATATATTTGAGTGGGTTACAGTCTTTAGCAAATAGGAATCAAGAAATTAGATATTAATTTGACTAAAGATTTATAATTAATATATACAATAGATCCCGTTGAGGCATAGTTATCGAGAAATTAAACTCTAGTTGGTTCGAGATTCTTGATTGAGAGTTATACTATTGCAAAAGTATAGTTGTCGAGTAATTAAACTCTAGTTGGCTCGAGACTCTTGGTTGAGTTACACTATTGCAAAAGTCAGTCTACCATGAACACATAACACGACTAATTCTGACAATTGAAAATTAGATGTGTGTCTATCACAATAGTCACATATTTGAGAGACAAAACGATGAAAGTAACCAATGAAATTCAATTGTTAAATCCAAGGAACTCGTGTATTAAATAAAATCCTTAGAACTCCTAATGGACAAACATTTACGGTGTTCTAAGTGAAAGGTATGCACGTTGATTTTAGAATGGCAACAAACTTATTATTTGTAGACTATACAAAAATTGGTAGTAAAACTCAAAATGAAAAAAATAAAAAAATTGGGTCCATTTAGCACTAAACGTGACAATTCATCCATGTACATTTGAGTTAAAATATTGGGCCTCCTCCATTGGAGCAATGCCAAATTCAAAATTGAGCATCTATAGTTGAGGATTTTTACTGACAATCAAGAACAAAAACAATTAGCATCTATACTTACAAATTGAGTTAATTTCCTCATCCATCTATATAAGATATCCTGCATACAGTAAAATGCAATTCTAAGGCTGTACAACAAGTTTGGTTGATGTAAAAATTTTGCATGTCTGACATAGAACATAAGAAAAGCTTTACGTGGGCCTTCATCAAACCATTTTTTCACATAGATTTCGTTCTCAGGGTTCAGAGGAGACATATAATGAGGTTCCGGTTGACGCTCATGCATCTTGAGTAACACCACTGATCTTTTTCCAAAACCACGGGAAGCAGCTATTTATGGTTTTTTGGAGTGGAGATAAAAATCAAAATAAACACCAAAACATTGGTCAGCTTCTGAAATAAATTGAAGCCACTGTTCAGTTTAGTCCAGAAAACATCAAAAGACGACAGATCGACTTACAATTCTTTCTGATATCAATCATCTTCATCACTTCCATATTGTTCGCATAATGATTGCAATCCACTGCTTGTAAAAGTGGTGGGTTCGGACTCCTGATTCTTTGGCTTCTCCTTTGCTGGCTTGTTATTAGTGGAGTCGAGAAGTGGTTTTTTAAGAATAGAAACTGCGACCGATGAAGACTTGAAAATGAATTTGCCACTATCAGAAGCCCCAGAAATCTACATATTATCTGCAACCACCACAACGGCGGTTTGTTCAGTGTTTCAGAAACAAATAGCATTTAACATAATTTGGCCATCTTAAAGCCAGCAATGCATTATTTGCCAACAACAGACAGTAATTAGTGGTAAGTTGCATGGTATACCAAGTACCCAAGCATATCCAATCCAACTTTCAACAAACAATAGTTTTTAAAGAGAGGATGTGCTTTGTGAAACAAAGTAAATTCACACGATTTTTGCATCATTTATTACATGGCAAATGAATAACTATTTGATTACGTCAAAATTCATATGATCCAACATTCAACAAACTGTAGTTGCTAACAATATATCATATCCAAATGCAAGGATACAGAATCCTTAATTGAAAATGGAAACTTTGTATTCAAAAGAAATGTTTTTAACAGCAAAACTTTCAGGGAAAGATGTGCCAACGTTTTTATCATTTTAAAATAAAGAGACTACTGGCCAGTGATTATGAATACATGGGACACAGGAATCAACAAATATTATATCTTAAAATGGAACTAGAGGTCAAGAGTACCTTTACTGTTAGAGCTGTCAAGATCGGTGCCCTTCATCAAAGAATCTATTGGATTACAAGGTTCTTCAGGTACATTTCTCCTCTGCATAAAAAGAAAATGACCCTGAGTGTCCAAATATATATGCAAGCAGGCTTATATAAGTGCTTCTTAGAGAATACCCACAAATCAAGCAAATTTGCAATGAGATAAAAAGATTTGACATAACTAGTAGATTAAGGAACTAATGCTCATGCTACAAAAATCAAGTGCTTCAAGGACTCATGCTAATTGGTTTAGAGGTTATAAAATTAGTTATTTTTTTTATTTTATTCATATTAAAATTATATATAGTTTGTGGATGTGGCATGTAAAACCTCATCCCTCACAAATGGAATCACTAATCAGATCCATGCAACAATTCTCAACCCCACATGGCTATACAATAACTAGCCAGCACCACTAGCACCCTTATCTTCTTTAAAAAATGAAATGGACTCGACAAAGTTTAAAGTATACCCTACCTTTAAAAAATGAAATGGACTACTTACTATTATATTCGCATGAGATTCTTTGTAGCAGATCCAACATCAACAATATGGACAAGAAATGGACTCGACAAAGTTTAAAGTATACCCTACCTTTAAAAAATGAAATGTACTACTTACTATTATATTCGCATGAGATTCTTTGTAGCAGATCCAACGTCAACAATATGGACAACAGGTGATCCTTGTGAGTTGTGCAATTTTAGCATCAGGACAACCCAGAACAACATCTCCATGTGATCCTCCATACCAACATAAATATAATTATACCTTCTATATTTACTCATTTTATGGCAATATATGTATTCAACAACTACTACAAAACTAGTTTCAAAAAAATGAAATAACAATAAACCCTTTTATGAGTAGTAAATTACTGAATCAAGTTATTTTAACACCCGATTCTTCTAATATTTTTACTGGGTCTTCAAAGTTTCTTCAAACCATCCCTACAAAAAGTGATTCAGTTTGTGAAAACTAAATCACACTCATAAATTCCCAAATTCCATCTATAATTAAATTCACAATGAGAAGAGGGTTACAATTATTTTTGACAAAAACAAGAATATTTAGCAAAAAATATAGAAAATCAAGCGTGTAAAAGCTTTCAACCTATCAAACAATCAGAATTAGATTCACAAAATCTAGCAACGAGATGAACAACTATGGTATATGAATTCGTAGTCGACTAATGTGATGGAGCTAGCGTACGTGAGCAATAACACGTACCTGAAATTGGTTTTGCAAAGTTTAGAAGAGTGCTCACTAAATTTCCACCATCTGGCCAACAACTTGACATGGACCATCATCGGTCAGTTGCCCATGTCCAGGCGACTCTAATTAGGGCCTCAATCAGTCTAAACAACACTTAGTCTATCTGAATCGATTCCAGAAAAATCGACATTCACGATCCCCAATTGACCCAATTTGATTTCTTCAAAGAATAATGCTTTAAGTACAGGAAACTTTCTACAGACAACGTACAGGAATTTGAATAATGCTGAGCTGGCAAGTCTTAAAAACCAACTCCAATTTTCCCACAATTCATTCCAATTTCCCCCAATTCATTTTACGCAAGAACCGGAGTGGGCCAAAGCTCCCACCCCATCCGACGCCACTCACCGGCACCACCGGCCGACGCACTCACCGGCACCACCCCCCAAGGCACTCACCTCCACTGACCATTGTTATCCCTGAAATCGAAACCCTTGGAAAAATCTCTGGCGTTGCACACGAAACCGATTTCTGAGTTTCTGAAGCACTGACTTCCATCCTCAAAGCCGCACTCACATCCCTTCATAGTCATAGTGGACGATAGGTTAGTATGAGAATTTTGTCTGCTTTTGTATGAGAAATTTGAGATTGGACAATAGGTTCGCCTAGCAAAAATTAATTGAAATTTGTTGCACTGCTTTTATACATGAATTGGTTATACTTGTTTAAGTTAAAACTGCAAAAATGGTTGAAGTGGGATCTTTTAATTTAATTGCATTAATGTGGGTTTATTTCTCTGTTCAACAGTTATCGAGCAGAATGAGGGGAAGAAATTTCAGAGTTCGTCACGATTGTAGAACACTCACTACTTTGGACAATGCCAAACAAAACGTGGACGCCCTTGGTGTAAAGATGGATTTCGACTATGTTTCGAGATCGAACGGGATACTAGAAACAAATGGTGCTTGTTCTTCATGTGTAGTAATGACTGTTATTTCGACGGGATGGATAAAGAAGATTCAAGCAGGGAATCAGTTGCCTACTATGATGTCAAGTTGTATTTGCTAAATGTATCATTGTAATGTACTTACTGTTTGGACATAGATTTGTCATTCTGGTTTATCTTGTTATTTGCAAAATGTCAATTATGCAACATGAGTGTATGCATGTTAGTTATTCAATTAAGAACATATATTCCTGTGATAGTGTTGGTTTATTTCAATTAAGCCTACTATGAGTGTATGGTTTAATTCCTGCGATATGAAAAAAATATGAACACAGAAAAGAAAAATAATATTTTAACACAAAGTTTAATGGATCAAAATCTAATATTCCAACACAAATTTTAAACTAAAAATTCCAAAATAAAGTTAACACCGAGCAACCTCCTATTACATGTTGAATAATAACATCAACAAAAATCACAAGTTGGTGCCACCTTGCTCGGTGAGTACCAAAAATTATGTACAAGTGGAATTGTCCTTCCAAATAACGGCCATTTGTTAAAGGCACAATTTGGTTCCTTTTTGCAACAATCCTCCAACACATACGTTCCACAAGCGCACTCATCTCCCTCCTTATTCTTAGGTCCTCTTCATCCCGTGCATAAGCTTCAGGGGACGAGTAGGGAAAATAGCCTCCAGGTCTAAGAAGCCTATCCAATTCAAGAAGAAGGAGCCCATCCCTCCGCAGCCAATCAATTCTACAATGAGAACAGTGTGCAAGTTTAAAAGATCTGCTTGGGTAAGGAAGTCTCTTTGTTCAAGAACACCAAGATATATAGGAATTCCTCTTTCTAGCGCAAATTGGATCTGATTTTGGTGCAAATCATTTGGTGCTAAAGACATAGCAAAGATATCGAATTTTAGAAGGTAAGCACCAAAACTGGCAACACCACAACCAACATCAAGAACTGTAACAACATTTCTCGTTTCATTCCAGCAACAGGTCATCATTCTATCTTCCACAATTTCTTTCCCTACAACAACAATTCTGAATTCATTACAAGTTGCCAATTATATTTAAGTACCAGCAAGACTATGCTACGAACAAAACTCAACGACTTAGGAGACACCTGACATATGTCCAGTGTCGTTATTCAATGACTATATGAAAGTACAAATGGTTATGGTTCAAAATTTACAAAGCACAACTGAAGATGAATTTTTCTCACTGGGCTATCAAAGTGAAGGTTTGAAATTCAGAAAATTTTTGCCTAATGCAAGATGTTCACTTTCAGAAACATAAAACACAACATGTTTTGAGGCCAAACATTTTAGGAAAATAATAAATCTGGTCTCTGTAAATTCTCGAACACTCCAAAATTTCTCCAAAACTACTCTTTTCTATGACACCATATAGACTATCATAGCCACTAAAGAATATAGTTCAGGCAACTAACCAATTTCTGAGCTACCCAATTTAGAACCAAGAAGAAAAATACCTTTGTCCATCATATCTCGTTGTTACGGCTGCCTTCAAATATGGGTTCAATGTTGAGTTTTGGTGAGCTTTTGTGATTACACTGTAGTGGAGGTTGAACGTCGGTCCAGTAGTCGAAAGTTGGCCGAAGATAGAGAAAGGTGATTGGCGTGCTTCTTTGCTGGGAACTTGTGGAGAGATTAGAAACAATTGGTTTGGCTTTGTTAGGTCTTTACCCCGTTTTATTTCACCGTTGATTCTTTTTTTATTTTTTTTATCAGCCATGTCATTGATTTTGAAATCCTGTACCATTCATGTAGAAGTTATCCTGTACATATAGCAGCACCATTCTTCAAATTTCGAGCTGTCACATCAACCTATGGTGGCGGGCCACATGGGTTGATATCGTCTGCCGCTGCTCCACCTTGCCCAGTAACGAATCCGATCCAATTTTGTCCAGAACGGGGTAGTGGCAATGGGTGTAAGAGAGAGGATATGCGAGAGAGAGGGGAAAAACGGGAATGGTGTGTTTCCTGTGTTGTGTAGAAATACCATGTTTTTGGACATTTTGAGTTTTCAGTACAATTTTTTTTTTAAAAAACTCATTTTCGAAAATAGAAAAGAAAACGTATTTTCACCATTTTGAAAAATCGAAAATAGAAAATTGCCTGAAAATAATGAAGAGAACAACCCCTTAACTCTTGAAAATCTTTTTTTGAGTGATCAAAACTTGCAAAAATCATTTATCTTAAATAAAGTTTTTCAACCAACACTTAAACTATACTTTTTGCATTTTATTAAAGTATTTACCTACTTCTCTTTTGATACTTAATTATGTTCATATCATTTATTGAGAGAGAAGCTTTCACTTGTAATTTCGTTTTTCTTTTGGATTGTAGGTTATGTTGATGTCCTAGAAAGCTTAACGTTGTAAAAGGATCAGTACTCCTTGATTGTAAGACATCGGAAACGTTGTAAGGGTTAGATTGCAACATAAGTCAATCAACAATAGTGAAAAAGTCCTTGCTCGTAACAAAGAGCTTGGTAATAGGGGACGTAAATCGTTGTTTAGATTGAATCTCCGTATTTAATTATTTGCACCTTTTATTCCCTTCTACTTACTATTTTACTTGTGTTATCTTGCTTGCATATTATTTACTAATTGCTTAAATTTGTATTTATTTTTGAAAAAAGATTTAGATAACCAATTCACCCCTTCTTGGTTATTCGTTCTTAGGATTTCAGCCCTAGCTTAGGAGGATAAATTCTTTAAGGTGGTAGAGGTTATAAGAATGCTGAATGTGGAACTATTAAATAAGTTGCGCTTCTCCGTGAAATGTACACATAATATGACATATATGGTAGAACTGATTTTAACACCTACACTTGTAATCGATTCCAGTGTGAGCATGCAGCCATAGTGGCTATGTATAGAGGCTTTGCAACATAAATCTTATGCTCTTCTTATTACACGTCTGATTATTGGAGAGCAACGTATGTTGATACTATATTTCCTCCAACGAATGAAGTAGAGTAAAAAGTTCACGATCGTATTCTTCAATTTAATAGTTTGTTGCCACCTGAAATTGAATCGTGTGGTTCTGGACGTCCACGTATGTCTAGAATACAATTTATCAGAGAGTTTATTCGACCGCGTAGGTGCGGCGTGGGCAGAGCAATACGGCATACTCCCTAATTTTGTATAAGTTAGATTGCTTTAAATAACAATTAGATGAATACGTAATATATCAATGTGAATCTTCAACCACAATTTCATATTCCGAATGAACTATTAGAAAGTTGAAGTTCGATCCCTATACTTTTTTTTTCATACAGTTAAAAAAATATACACTTTATTACAGATCATAATATTTACATTTTCAAATAGAACAATATACAATGTTAATGGATCACAATTGAATTCATACAAATCACACGCTAACTTCTTTCTCCAATTGTCAATCCATAATTGGTTGATTTAATTAACTTTATACACTATATTAAAAATTTAAATACATTTGATTGTGAACATATCACAATTGCCTTGTCAATTAAATAATAAAGTGCTAGTTCGATAATGTATAGCTAAAAACTAAGTTTTCAAATTAAAAAACGTATAAATATTTACGATTTCAACTCTCTTACCGTCGTCGTGTCCCGTACAATAGTTAATATGTCCTGCACAATCACTTCCATGTGTGTTTAGCCATCAAAGCAACAATCACAACCACAGACTTCAATATATGCTCTAGCTGACTTTCAGATAGGTATTATTGGAGTCTTACATATATAATTAGCGAAGATGATTTTCACTGCAAAGTAGTGATGATTTGCGATTACTAGAATGTACATATTCATAAAACTTGTCCATAACTTTTCCCCGACACTCAACTATATCCGTATAGCCCACTTAAACATATATTTAGGCACCTCACACTCATTGCCCCATAAGTTGGAGCATATATCCAGATCGTACTTTCATCCTGCAAGAATTCAAATATTAGAACCTTCAATAAGAGACAATAAAATAAAGTATAATTTTAGAAAAATTAAGTGAATCGAATTGTAACTACTATATACAAAAAATAGATTTATTTTCCACTGACACCAATAAAAAATAACTGATTTAATAAACTAAATGAAAAGCACAAAAAAAAAAACTACAGACAAAAATAAAGAAAATATTAAAAAATATAAAAACCAAAGAAAAAATATAAATAAGCATTTTAAATTGATAAAAAAATGAAATTATGATACACAAAAAAATAATTAGGAAATTTTAAAAAATAATACAAAATTAAAAATTAAATTAAATACAAATTAATGACAAAAAATAAAAAATGAAAAATAAATTAATTGATAATTAAAAAATATAAAAAATAAAGCAAGAATAATTAAATTTTAAATTGAAAAAAGTTAAATTATAATAAGAAGAAAATAATTAAGGAATTTTTTAAATTATTACCAAAAAATAATAATAAAAACAAAATAAATTAAACAAAAGAAAATTATGAAAACTAAATAAAGTATATAAATATTATTTAATTAAAATTAAAAAATTAAAGATTTGTTTAAAAAGAATATTTAATTTGGTGAATTTTAATTTAATATTCTTTATTTAATTTAAAAAGAAATAAAATTTCTTAATTTTTAAAAAAATATATAAAAAATTAAATAAAAGGAAATTATATAAATTATATAAAAAAATATATATTATTTAATTAAAATTGAAAATTTTAAAGATTTGTTTAAAAAGAATATTTAATTAAAAAGAATTAAAAAAGAATATGGTAATTTGGTTAAATGAGTATTTAATTTGATAAATATCAATTTAAAAGTATTTATTTAATTTAAAAAAGAATTAAAATTTCTTAATTTATAAATTTAAAAAAAAAATACATAGACTGATTGTTAATAGTCGCCATGATTCCTCATGCTGAAAAATAGTCATTTCTGACAAGAAGCTATTGTTTGGCAAATTTAACACTTAAATTATTACGGCACTCAATAATATACTTAAATAATGAAAAATAAACATTATAAACATAAAAAAATTAACAAATTTTTGAAACATCATAAATGAAAAATCAATCTCATAATCTATAACAAAACTAACCTTGTTAAAGATATTGTTGCCGATGAATTGGTGGTTGAAACATGATGACGATGACTTGAACTGGATCCCAATTGTTAGATTGTATGAGTTTTTACTCTTTCCTCTCAATTCGTTTTTTTACAAAGATGATAAGAGTATAAAATACTTTAGGTAAATAATTTTACAATTTAAAAAATTAATTTTTTTAATGGTCAAAGGCATTATGGAAATTTGGCCGGGTCATATCAATGTATTTTCTCCAGCTGCTATTAAAGCAATCAAATTTTTGACCCGACCCTATCACATCTCTCTCTCTCTCTCTCTCTCTCTCTCTCTCTCTCTCTCTCTCTCTCAGGTAACATCAATTTACTTTTCTTTTTATTTTTGCTAATTAGGGCTTTTTTTTTTTTTGTTAATCTTCTCCTTTAATACACGCTTATTCTCCCGATATTGTTAATCACCATTTTCATCAGAAGCTTTGACTTTTTTTGCTTGTTTATTGGCTAATTGAATTGAAGGTTTCTTGGTTGTACTGCATTCCAGGAATTGAACTGATCTGATTTGATGGATTTAGTATCTAAGTACCAGGTAATTTTTCTTTTTATTTTACATTAAATTTGCTATATCTTCTGTAACGACTCTAATTATATATGGGGCGCTATGTTAAGGTTTTAATTCATGGCCGCCTGTATGCTGGTTTCAAGGATACTGCCAGTAAGAAGTGGTTGTTCCATTTTCAGCTATTCTACTGGGTTAAGAAAAGAAGTTAATGTGATCTAATTGTAGTTATGTGGGCAAAAATTATTCATTTTAAAATATGCTTAAAGTGGAAAGTGTTATTTTTATTTTTTTATGTTTATTTTTAGAGTAACGGTGTAATGAGAAGTGTCATTGACTGAAAATGTAATGCATATTGATAATTTTTTGTTTCTTCAGCTTCTCCTTTTATATTATGTTTGTTTTTCACTTTGTGTTGAAAATAGGATTAATGTGAAGGGGTTTATAATGCAGGGTGTCGTAGGGCGTGTTTTTGGAAATGAGAACTCGGACTCAAATGAAGATAGGTATTTATTTTGTTCTCCAAATATTTAGTGTTGTTAGCGAGCTATAGATGCTGAATATGAGTATCTTCTTAATATAATATAATTTTTCTTAATTTTTGCAGCAGTGAGGATTATTTATAATGTCATTTTTCTTTATTCCTTTTTTGTTTTAAGGCTTCAAAACTGACATGCTGATATTTTGATTCTTTTCTACCCAAGGCCTATTACTCCGTGATATGGCTGATACTCAGAGGGTCTCTGTGTTCTTACCTAACATAGCATTCTCTCTCAAGTACATAGCTGAATGCTGAATATCCATTATTTTTATGTCTATATAAAAAACTTCACATGAATTATTCGTCTTTTCTGTTTTCTCATTTGGAGGAAGAATGTATTTCATTTAGACTATCAAGGAAAAGAGAACATTGGTTTTCTCAATTGCAATTTTCCCTTTAGATCGTGAATTAAGTATGAACAACAGACTACCCCTCCCTCTTCTAATGTGTTCTATGAAGCTCGCATCACTCTTTTGAACAACAACCTCTTTAGGTCTACGTTAAACATGTTCCAGCCACAAATCATTCTTCCTTAATTTATCCTCAATTGTTGTCACCCTCACTTGTTAAATGTAAAATTTATATCTTATCTTATCAATTATTGTAGCCCACAAGTGATATTTTTATTTTCATTTATTTTATTTTCACTTATTTTATTTTATTTTGTATGAGTCTGTGTGCGTGTGCATGTGAATGGTTGGGGATGGAC